AAATGTGGAGTGAATTGGTAATTTCTGTGAGTGTAGCGAACGAACAGCTGTCCAAATACCACCCACAGATGGACACCCCAACTACCGGTTCTCTTATAATTGAAGAGAGGACCATCTTTACCAGTAGGGTACACCCAACATAACATGGTTATAGAGTACTGAACGTCCAATGCTCCATTATTTGGGAACTCGATGTAATTTCCGGCACTGCCTGCGAACGCGTACGAACCGCCGGCTTTTCCATCAGGACCATCAGCTAAAGATACGCTAACAGGATTTCCCTGGGGAACTCGACTTTCAATTTCCCTTGTTTGATACTTGCTGTTCAGGGGAAAGACGGCGACAGGATCTGGTACAGTTACTGGTACACTTACAGCTGAAAGGTAAAACAGTGTGAGTTTTGAATGGATTTGGTGGGTGGATGATAAAAAGGTCTGATAAAGATGATCTGGTCTGAATGAGGCAAGAGACTTTCTCCGCTGCTCTTGCAAAAAAGAAATCTTGAAGGACACTAACCGTAAGCAATCGTGAACAAAATCTGTAGAGCGCTGATTTGAAAGATCACCTTGAACCTCTCCATGGTGTCAAATTTCTGCTGTTGAAATTAGAAGCAATAGTAATTGCAAACTAATTATAAATATCACTGCCAATGCAAGTCTTGCATTCTTTGTTTTTTGACGAGACTTAATTTCTGCAAAGTTAGAGCTTGAGCGGCGCTCAAATCACGCCGCTCGACAGGAGATGAAATGTAGGCTTGACAGCATTCTAATACATCCCGTTGATTTTATTACAAACGGGAAGTTTTTCGAATTATTTTCGAGAAAACACTTTTTCTTAGGCTCTGAGCTCATGAGAAAATAATGGATAGAGATGGACGCTTCTGGTCCTAGCCCTGGGATATCTCAATTTCACTTAACTTATTCACAGATAAGTGTAAACGGAGCACCCCATAAATATGTTGCCACGTAAGACAAAGTATCGGAAATTAGGTAGTGTGACGAGTTGATAACGTAAATTGACCACCCTCGTCAGAACGACTTATGAGGGGCTAACGCTCGAAACGTCAGCTTTCGAGCTCAAACTCTTAGCGGCGGCTAATTTACGTTATCAACTCAGTTGATAGTACAAAATTACTTTGTTATACTCTACCACCGACGCAGCACCACAGTTTTTATAGGAACTTATCCCCTTTATTCATTTATCGAATTTTAGGTTAAAAATCAATGAGGTTACTTGTATTAAGCACAGGATAACATTTTTAAACAAACTAAACGTCACAAAACCGTTTTTCCTGGTAGAAGTTTTCATAGATTAAAACCCTTGTACATGTACCTCCATAAGTTACGATGAAAGAATCTCGTTTCGCTAAATCCGAAGGAAATATTGTATATTATTGTACTCTCACGCATGCCAAGCATCGCATATGGCCTTTTACGGAAATTAAAAAACATCTATTTCAATTAGCCATGGTCGCCTGTGAGTAAGTTTGATGTATTGGCAAGCAACGTCGAGATTAGTTCTTTTAACATCAAACTGACTTTGTCAATAAGAAACCACAGTAGGAATGCTTTCTTCAATGCTATCCAGCTCAAGCTAAAAATAATTTAATTGAAATTGACATAACCCGGCCAACGCCCTGATTTCTCCTCTCTGTCCCATTTTTTTCTCCTGGCTTAAGGTAAGTGGTCATTTGTCTTAAAACTTAGTTAAAATTTCGGTCACAATTAGTTTCTTTCTTTCACTAGCCCCTACGACCTAAAGTATTTTTC